CAGACATGAACAAAAAATGAAAGTAGCGCGACAACAAGTAGCTTTAAAACTACACATCCATCATGTAAATGCTAGTTGACTAAAGAAAATTATAATTTAAGAATCAATTGCTCAAGATGAGCAGAAGGCGAAATAAGCGAGAGAAGTGGGGTTAGTTATGGGTTAAAATGTTACTCTGTTGGGAAATGCTGTATCAACATGGTGCCTAAACAATAACGTAGAATTTTTTTAGGAAATTAAAAAAATGAGCCCATTTTGGTACACTTAAAAAAATTTTAAAATTACTTTAGGAGAAAATAAACTCTCTAAATCAAATTGATACTGTACTACTAGACTAAACTTTAAATTTAATATTAGATTGAGCCTCTTGTTTTATATTGTAAGCTGTGTTAAATTGTAAAATTGGGTCAATTTAAGTTCAATATGAGTATTAAACTTGAATTTAATATCAAAAGAACTCAAATCATTTACAACACTACTTATATATGAATGAGAAAAAACACATAAAAAAATTATTTAGTTGAAATGACATGCTTTTCAAATTTAGACATCAATATATATATATATATATATTTATTTATTTCTTCTATACTCATTTATCATATTTTTCTTAGACATGAGATTCTTGCACCTATCGGTACCCAAGACTTCAACTCCACAGTCACGCATATGAACGATTGCCATTATATTGTTGCGCCACACTCCGACGATGCTAAACCATTCAAGTGAATCAAATTAATTTTCTCGTGACGGTCGAGCTTAAAATCTTGCAAGGTATTTGCTCCCGGCCCCCCACTCCACCTACCAAAAAAGACGAACTAGTTTAAAAGTTTCCTGTAAATACCATAGGTAGAAAGTCCGACCCATGTGAACACCTGATTTTGCATGTGAAAAAAATTTCTCACCGACCAAGAAATGTACGGCAGGAACTATAACAGCACATGTTAAAATTTTGTGTGATTATTTCAAATTTTTTTTACATCTAATTATGTATTATATAAAATGGATAGTATTTTTTCTATTTGTAAATCTCTTTTTACTCGATTCAAGACTTAAATTTAATATTTTTAACTTGAAATTTTAAGTTTTTCACTATTAAGTTACCTCATTAAAGTTAATTATTTCAATTATTATAATTATATTTTATTTAATGACATATAAAAATTAAGTATGGATTGTTGGATTATCTTGCTATAACCATGCAAAAGCAAGGCAAATGTAGTGCAACAACAAAGTGAGTGAAGTGAGCTTCCAAAGTGAGAGCTCGGGCTGAGAGAGAGAAAAAAAGAAAAAGAGTGAGTTAGGTATTAAGTTTAGGTGTGAGTATGCTTTTCAAAAATAGTATATTGATTGACAAAATTTTACATTTATTAGGATCATGTCATCATATCTTGGGAGAGTGAAAAACAACGAGAGAGAAAAACATTAGAGTATATATTTTATACAATTTTATCACATAGTAAAATATTTTTTAAAATTTATTTTGTTTTTTTTTTCCTCAATATTTTTTGAGGATTTTTTTAATGTAAAATTAGGTATTATCTTATTATTTATTTTTCCTTTTAACTGATTGGTTTAACTATTTTTTTTTTATTTTGTTTGAGTAGTTAATTAGATCAACTTTGTCAATAATTGTTAACAGCAAAACATCTTATTTCACTATTTTTATTATTGTTCATGTACACTTTTCATAGGAATTATTCATTTT